TCCAAAACCCCAGCCTCGTTGGTTCCTCCATGTGTATCCGGTTGTATCACCACTTTATTCCATTGAAACGTATAGTTAGCCCTCCCCCCCCAACTCAAACCCCAACCCCACCCCTTTTCCGACTCAAAGAAGTATTTACACGCGAAGTGAGAACACTTTTACGAACCAAAGTACAACATCACAAGGTAATCAGTCGCTCTTGGACACAACCCCCATCCCCTTCCCTCCCCCATATCCCATCCCTATCATCACCCACAGTTGCTGACGGCTTGAGGATAACTTCTTGTCAAGCAAGTCCAGGGCCAGGGCTCGAACCCACTCTCGAGCTGCTCTCAACAAACGGGTAAATACGAATATTGTCCTTTCAAGATAACCCCAGAGACAGTGACGCTAGCCTAATTTTGTAGCATTATCACGACAGCGTCTAACATTGCGAGGGGGCTGTCGTGGCCTAGAGGTTAAAGTGTTCGCCTTTCATTCAATAGGTCCTGTGGTCGAATCCAGATAGCGAAGGAAAATTTTCTTCTCTATAAAATTTTCTCCTTTCCCACCCTTTCCTGCCCTCTAACAATGTTCTGTCGTCTGCTGTCGTCTTTACTTTCTGCCCCCGACCCTCTCACATTCTTTGCACCCTCCTCTGGGCTCCTGACTCTCCCTGCAGCCTTTCTGCTGCTTATCTTAGGCTCCTTCTTACTGCTGTCTTTCAGCCACACCCCTGGTCTTATACTAGGAAAAATCTAAAAGATCCCTTGGTGGTCCAAAAGTCGATAAGAGTAGGCTTCTGCCTTCACCTGGGAAAAATTCAAAATTTCCTGCGAGCTGAAAATGTTTATTGTGTCATATGCGCTCATATGGCCTTATGTAGTTGCGAGCTCCGTACTAAAACACTTACGCCTAGAAAAAAAATATCATTGTGACAAGAACTTTCAATGATGATATCATTTTGACACTGAGTGCCCAGCTCGATTTCTGTTGAGCATGCATTTATCTGGGTCACGTCTGATAATATTTTCAATGGGAATTATGATAAATTTAACGAAATTTTTGTGACCGTCGGGAAATGAATAGGTAGTTCGTTCTAATCAGTACTCGCACATCTAAGTAACTTCAGGTCTTGAGTCGCGCGCACACCTGTATGTTACTCCTCGCACCCCTCTGCTACCCATCGTCGCAAACAATTGATCCCAATGGCCTGTTTTGAGGGAGAATTGAAAGCAAGCCTTTTCCCTCACAATAGTGGAAGGGTGGTAATAAAGTTTCTTATTTCATGCTTATCCGTCTGCTCAGTTTTGTCCCTTCGAAGATCCAGCGTGATCGGCTTTATTCGTAGAAGGAAGAGGAGGTCACGGCGTCACTTACCATTCGCTCTATTAACTAATTGAACAAAGATAATGTATCTTGATCTATGCGTTGACAGAGTAGTCGGTACGGTAGTTGGTTAAGCCACCGTACTCGTAATCATGAGGTTGTGGATTGCAGCCCACTATTAATGAAATAATTAACCATTTGACAATTTCCAAAGGTTTGATTTCTAATCTCGTCTATTACTCTTTGTCTTTGACTAGTTGTCCAGTGTCCCCTTTCCTGGTCCCCTCCTTCACTGGCCAGACCCCGTCAGGAGCTAGGGCGCTGACCAACACTTTCCCCGCCTTCAAGTTCGACGCCTCGGACACAGTGTTCATCCAGTGCCAGGCCACGCTGTGCTACGACTCTGACCTGTCCTGCCTAGGGGTGGGTACCAAATCACGTGACCTCATAAAGCCTTTGTATTATTAACGGTATAATACGGGCCGACAGATGAACTGAGCAAGACGGCCTAATTTATGACAGATACCAGACTTCAAGTGTGATGCGATCAAGAAGAAAAAAGATTAACGGTATATAAAACCTCCACTATAGCGTTAGTCGAGGACACGAAAGGGTAATGGTAAGGATTTAGGTATAGTTCAAATCCTTCGAACTATGAACTTTCATAAATTGACTTGAACCTGATGATATGGAGGGCATTGAGACCCACTCAGTTATCCTGGGTTGGCCCTTAATTACAGGTAGGTCCGAAGACAGCCTCTAAAGGATCTAAATTACGTCAATGAAGGTGTAAAACACGTACCCGTAAACTGGGGTGACTAAGGCATGTAACTGGGGAAAATGATATGATGATCTTAAAATTATTTTTTTTCGATATCAAAAGTGATTTTGAGGACCGTAATTTACATTAAAAACCCATGATACAACCCCCCCCCCCACGCTACGCCAGGACCAGATTAGGAAAGTAGTAACGTAAAAAAGAAGCAGAAAAATTCAGACCACTCTCTCAAACTGCCTGTTTAAACAAAACAAAACAAGAAATGGTGGGACTGTCCACTTTTTTGAAAAGAGAGAGGACAGAGTATACATTTGATCTATGCTGTAATTTTGCGTTATGTCCGCAATGATACATTTCAGTGAGACAACCTGCTCACATTGCTGAGACTGCAGTGGCTTTTTTTTCTTCGAATTCTCAGAGTCAGTGTGATACAAGAGTCAGACGGAAACGCTCACCGGGAACGCCGTTGTCCGAGAGTTTGTCGCTGGTCATCTCAGTCCGAGACGCCATCAACCAGACAGAAGATAACGATGGTAACACGGTATTTTCGTACTTAGCCAGTGTTTATCTCATTGTGACTTGTTGAAACTGCATTCATCTCTCTCTCTCTCTCTCTCTCTCTCTCTCTCTCTCTCTCTCTCTCTCTCTCTCTCTCTCTCTCCCCCTCTCGATCTCTCTCTCTCTCTATTTTGTCTACCTGTCTGTCTGTCAGTCTGTATTTTTGCCTCTGTCTGTCTGTTTCAATATAACTTATAACACACACTACTTTGAGGATGCTACTCCTTTACTTAAAAAGCAAGCAAACAAACAAACAAACAAACAAATAAACAAACAAAACCACTAGAACTGTTTAGGTCAGGACGTAGTTGAAAAACCCCCAAACAATTGCGTTAGTATCTTCCTTCTTTCTTTTTCCTCTTTTACCACTGTGCCAAGCCGTGTACCTCCAGATAGACCCATCCGTAATATTATAGCAAGACGTTAGAAATCCGCTGCTCTACGGCCTCCAGGTGGCAATATGCATTCTCTATGCAAGTCTTTAGAAAGGGAAAAATACCATTAAAAAACTTACGTATTAAAAAAAAAAATACAACATTTAATTTCGTAATTCATTTTTGTATTCATTTACATAACACACATTTTAAATGTAACTTCATCAAATTTTAATTTTTGTCTCTTTGGAACACAGGGCCTAGGAACAGTGGGAACAACCGAAGGCAACCCATTGGCGAGTCACCAAGCAGCACATTACCCACATCCTTCCAAACTCACACGACGTGGCCACGCGAAGCTTTGCTCACCACTGCCGTATTGGCGGCCGTGACACTTCTTTGTGTTGTAATCAGTGCTTGTCTGGTGTTGAAGCTTTGTCAGCAGAGCCGGAAGAATGCCGCCCCGGATATGACAGCCGCGGTGAATGCTCAGTGATACTATTTATAACACCTTCTTGGTTTGTACAAAAGATTAATGAATAAACGAAACACAACCCTGGCAGACATTCTTCTTTAATTTCTTATATATCAATCTGTCTTTGACGCTATAGTTGAAATAAGAGCTGTTTTTATAATTATTAATTTACTTGAAGTTAGCTATGGGAGAGGAAGAGGAATGATGGATAAGTTGAGAGCGCTTCATTCTTCTAACACGTACACACGCGCGCATGTCTGTGTGTTTGTATGTCTGTGTTTGTCCATATGAAGAGGTCAGGTTTAGTCAAATTAATCCTACAACGACTTAGCTTAGTTACCACTTTACAATGATGGATTTGGCTCGTTCTTAAATTGTTTTGTTGTTAATACAGTCTGTGAGTCATTTAATTGTTATAAGTTACCCCGATGGACTTATCGTGTTTTTAAATTGACGATTTCGTATCACATCAATGTGTGTGTGTGTGTGTGTGTATGTGTGTGTGTGAATGTGTGTGTGTGTGTGTGTGTGCGTTAATGTGTGTGTGTGTGTGTGTGCGTGTGTG